AATCTGTGGATACCAAACATAGCAGGTGCTACGCAAACATACCGCCATTGGAACTCCCGGAGTGACTTGAAACGACAGTGGCGATTGGAGATTGGTGCTGAATCTCGACCATTCCGTTCTGCAATCACGGATGCGCAGAAATGGAAAGACAATATTTTTTAATCTGAACGAATGTAGCATTGACGGACGTGCACGGCGACTGATTTCATCCTCCGGCGAGAACGTAATCGAGGAAACGCACCCTCCCGCCGTGCGTTTCGCGATTTTAATTCCTCCCGGATGTACCGTACGTATATCCATCCATCGCTCATTAAATCACGACGTTTATCACTCGCCCTTTCGCGTTTTCATTTCCTTCCTAACGTGACAAAAAATCACTAATCTCTCGGTCTCTCGAATTGCACGGCAGAGAATGAACGGCAGGCTGTGCGCTGCATAGAGAGCAAACAATCGGCGTTCTATCGATCGCAAATTATTTGTGAAGTGACTCGAGCTCAGCAGTAAGATCCGATATCTAGCGATCCTAAACCGGGAAGATCAAGTCAGCGATTTCGCTGTGACTCTCGTATCTCCTGACACGATCGCGATGACATCGATACACATTTAACAGGAGAACCTCCAGGTTTTCCTAATGCCAAACGTATAACAAGAAAATTATCCACTTGAGGGGCCTCCAAAAATGAAAACGGGAATGCGTGGAAGAAGAGGGAGGTTGAAAGGTCGACGTAAAAGTGGGGAGGGTAGTTTTCTCGATCCGGTAAGGTTCGCAACAATGTCCAGTGGTCCCAGGACTGGTGTCCTCCACGAATACAATGGCCGCGAAAAATCATCCATTATCCGCGCGAGATCCACACACAGGGAAGGGAGATGACGAGAGAAAGATGGAAAGAAGATGGTGAGGCTGCAAGTTCGGGCCCACGGACAATGGCGTACGCCCATATATCACCCGACTGATTTTTCCAAAAAGCGGAATCAATGAGTCTTCCTCGAAGGTGCAGCGGAGAAAAGGTGGGATTCCACGCCGGTTTTCCAGGCACATTTTCAAGCTAGTTGAACACTTCCGATCACGCGATTTTGACCATCGTGAAAGACAAAAATTGTTCTTACTTAAAATCCGTAGCGGAAGTGCTGACGAATACTTTACGAGATTTAAAAAATTTAGAAATTCCGGAATAGCATTTGGAAACTGCCAAACGCTTGAAATATTTCAAGAATAATAATTTTGTTATCGAGAATAGAAATATATTTTATAAAAAGAAAAGTAGACGAGTGAAAAATTATTAGAAAGAATAGACGATTAATAATATATGTATAGTAGGAGCATCTTTTGTTCACATTGTTCAAAATATATATTTGATATAATGATATAATAAAAAACAAAATAATAATTGTTCAAAACTTAAGTTTGTGCAGTCTTTGTACGAATGTTGCGTTATCACCTGAAATTATGTACGACAGACGTGTGAAGGCAATTATTTCACTTTTAGACACTGCATAGATTAAAATCAGGATTTTTATGGCGGTAAATAAGAGATCTGCATCTTCTGTTTAGATGCTCTATTCCCCAATAGATAAAGCACGGACTCTCGATCCAAATCTAGACATCGAACCCGCGCACTATACATACATATAAACGCACATACACACGCGTGCACGCACGCATGTCGTACGTACGCATGCATACATGCACGAGTCGCGCGTGTATCGCTCTTCGATTCCAGCCATAGCCAAAACGATTATAATAACTATTTTATCCGGCGCGGATCTGGGCCATTGTGCCTCTCGATTCTGAAAGTCATAACACGGTGCCTGTGCTGCCCTTCGGGAACTGCCTCGTGTTCCCCTTTTGGCTGTGCTATACTACGGTGTAACCTGGTGCACCATGAATTTCAAACACATACACACGTACGTTGAGAAGTGTGTGCGTGTGCCCAAAGATGCGAACGCAACGACCGACATGATCAGACCCTTCTGTGACTACGTTTCTCGCGTGCGTGTATGCGTGTCTCCAATACGCGTGGATGCATATTGTGATTGTACATGCGGATGCGAGTATCTATGTATATATGCGTACGCGTGACACGCATACGTAGATGAGTTTGTAAGTGTATAGGTACAGTGAACGAAATATGTCTATGTTGCGCCGTCGTATGCATAGGCTGTCTCGGAATTATGGAACACAATCTTGCTGATAAATTCTTTATCGAACAAAATGCCGGCTTTTACTTAAAGAAAGTGTCAAGAAGTTGAGTTGTGCATCTCGTACGAAAATTATAAAAATCTTCAATTAAAATTCCATATAAGCGAGTATAACTTACTCAAATTCCAATGCAGTTCCGCCTGTCTTATTGCGTCGATCTAAATGCATCTAAATGCACGCGTCCAAGCAAAATTCTTGAACAGAAAGTATTTCGCGAAAAGCTCTTCGGTCTTAATTTGCTTGTGATACGAAAATCGATCCTTCGACCTTTCAATAGGAAAAAATGGCGACGCTGAAATAAACGAGAGATCTGTTATACGTTTTTCGAGACACCCTATATTCAACCACTAGCGATCATGGTCTCCGCGCTGACACCGGCGTACGCATATACACGTATGAATACGCGCGTATTTGTGTGCGTGTCGCGGCGGTGGCACACATCGACCACCGGCAATATTTCACAGCATATTGTTGCCATCTGCACACGCAACCCTGCGCGCACGACAGAATGCACGACGTAGGAGAGACGCGCGCTTTTATTTATCTGCTATTTATTTGCCAACGCGCGCGCTACCGAAGCGCGGTACCCCGACTCCCCGGCCCTGCCGGGGACAGATTTGAAAAGTTATTAATCGTTCTGTTTTGGATAAGAGTGCCACGGCACTCTGAGGCCCCCCTCCCCGTCGCCAGACGAGGGAGCTCCTTTTGTGCGAGCTGCCGGCTAACCAGACCGACGGCGCATATTGGCCGTGCGAGCGAACGTGCCCCTTTCGATCGGCACGAGGAGGGTTCCCTGAAGAGAAGGTGTGAATCGATGGGTGGAGACAAGCCACAAAAAGTTGAAATCGAGTCAACTCTTTCGCGGAACGGAGGGAGACAGATTGAGACGTGGATACACGTCTGCACGTATGCTTGCCCGATCATACAAGAATCGGACGTTCGAATTACTTGACGAAATAGCGTCGCGCACCCCGGCTTATCTCTCCTCACGAATATGTAAAAGTCGACTCATAAATATTCATATCGTCGCGAACAAAAAATACCTTGCGTACCATAAAAACGCAATGTCTCGATGGTGGATACGCCTCTGCGATCGAGATAACGAAAGTGTCGTAAAGTCCGACAATTGAAATCTTTCCGGTGGCGAGTAAAAAAAAAACGGAGTTGCAGCGTCGCGAGATAAGAGGTGATGCCGGTGCGTGGGACCGTTATCTGCATAACTTCATAAATATTTAAGACACCCGCTTTGCGTATGATGCCACAGATGCCCCGGGCCGGCCACGTCCAGGCAACTTAAATGTAATTTCTGTCGTGGCGATGTGTCTTTTCCACGATAATACGCCGTAATCTTATCACATTATTGATACGTGAGATGATTAACGATGTCGCCATGCTCGAAAATTTAATGAACTACAAGGCCGCCTACACGACGATCAGTTTTCATGCTCGGTAAATAAATCAGTCTTTAGTGCAAGGTGAACGAAACGATGACTTTGCTGTCATTTTGAGAAGAAGAGTCTAACTTACCTTTTCAAAAAAAGGTAAAAAAAAAGCGCCAAGTGTAAGCGTTATCCGAACAATAACTATACGATTTTATTATTTGAAAATGTATTGTTACAAAAAGAACATTGCTATTTTCTCTACAAACGTAATGATATCAACAAATTGCACCAACTATAACAATGGATATTTATACAAATTAGAATATTTTATCTCAATATAATGCTAATATAATGCAAATTTAAACAAATTCAATATACGATAAATAAATATTTTATTAAAAAATGACCTTCCCTGATTTAACTTTGAGAAGAAGAATCTATTCGTTCGATAAAATATCAGCCCTATTTACTTTGCAGAATCTGTCATCGAATGAGAAATGAAATAAAAAGCAACGAAAGCTTTCTTGTGCACTTAAGAATTCTCAAGTATTTTGAGTATTTTTAATGCGGCTCTTTACATTAGAATTGTTTAGAAAAGGAGAGAAATGATACTCGGACTCGATCCCGCTGGCGGAATCGTCCCCCTCGGCACTCATTTCGGTTTTTTATGCGTTTCGGTAACACATATTCCCAATTCTAGCCGCGACTCGTCCCCGCAACTCGTCCAAGGGTGAGAACGCGGGTGAGAGCCGCCATTTCTGGCCATAAAAAATCCGCCAAGTTCGCGCTTCCTGTTCGCGCGTCTCCTCGAGAGCGCAGCGCCAGGAGGAAGCTCCGGAAAAGGGAGTAGAATACGGGGGTGTGGACCGACACGGTAAAATATATTCCAGTCAACTTCCGTTGGAAATAAATAAGAGTCACGCCACGCGATCTCGCTGCGCCCCGACAACGGCGGCCATTCGTGTGCAGGGAACCTTATCTTTCGATATCTCTCTCTCTCTCTCTCTCTCTCTCTCTCTCTCTCTCTCTCTCTCTCTCTCTCTCTCTCTCTCTTCCCCTCTCGCACCCTAAGCTAAGAGAAGCCATCGAGAAGAGTGTTCCGCCGCCACTCATCAAGATATACAGAAATCAAGATGAGACTCTAATGCGCTCGCGTAATCGTTCTTTAATTACTAACACCTACGTAATTGTGGATTTCGTCTTCCTAATGTAACATGTTGAGCGGCTAATTACTAGTGGTTACCTTTGACTATTCATGATATTATCTTGCGAGAATTCTGGAAAATTAAATTTCAATTAAAATAAATGTATTAATTCCCCTCTTTTGCGTACACAATAATTCTTTCACGAAATAACATATGATACGTGTTTAGTTGGGATATTATTAACCCTGTGTCCTTATATGTTTCTTTTTCCAGGCGAGAAACCTTTTAAGTGCGAGCACGAAGGTTGCGATAGGAAGTTTGCGAACAGCAGTGATCGAAAGAAGCACAGTCACGTTCATACTTCGGACAAGCCCTACAATTGTCGGGTCTTCGGATGTGAAAAGTCCTACACCCACCCTAGTTCGCTACGCAAACACATGAAGGTATGTCTTCCGGTTAAGTTAATTACAAAACTAGCTCGGCTGAAAGATGAAAGAGCATTACTAGGAATTCCTGTCATTTACACACTTTGGTTGCTTGCATTTCGCAAGTGCCACACATTCAACAATTTTGACAACTTTGAACTTACACATACATTAGACAACATTAAACAATACACACATTAAACAATTTTAAAAGGAAGAGAGATATTGTCAACACAAAAATAAGTATCACAAAAGTTTACGATCAAGACAAGTTATTCTCATATCTTTTATATCCAACAATCACAAGAAAAGGATTAAACAATAAAAAGATAGGGTCGGCATGGTCCCGGTCGGCGATCAATCGCGACGATCTTAATCATATTCCGCACGAATAAAGAATTAGACTTCTGTTTCGCGTGTAGATCTGTTCGGATGCTGAGAACTGCGCAAATAGCGAAACAAAACCGCGCGCCGTTCCCAAAACTACAGTGATGTTTTCGCACGAACGGTCGCGGAATCTTAATAAGAAATTATCTCAGCACGGAAAGGAGAGGTAGGGAGTCGTGCAAAACCCAACTTCCGAGATACACGCGCGTTAGATCACCGGGAATGCCGTGGATACTCGACGGTTTTCGCAGACGTGATTCGCGGAAGGCAGTCGTCGAGATTTGCTCACTGAATTATGAAGAAAGGACCAGAGAGATGGAAACGGATCCTTGATCCCCGTTCCTTTCGTTCTAGACTTCTTGGGTCAGACCAAGGTGCTACTCTCTCCGCTGATCCTCCGTGATCTCCGCCTCGATATCCCGACGATCGACTTCAAGTCCCCCAACGTTATAAGACCCCCGAAACGCATACCGTATAAATCAAAAATATGTTCTGTACACTACCTATACGAAACACACGAAAGACATCTGAGTAAATGATAACTTCTAACGGCATATCGTGCACTTATACACAATCAAAAACATTCAAGTTCCACATAACAGAGAAAAGTGATTGATGGGGATTGAGAAATGTAGGACACTCTTTCCCGGTACATGGATTGACGTTAACGTTTGACTACAACCCTAATTTAATACACGATGTATAAAACACACATTTGTTTACGATGGTAGTGACAAAGATCTGTCATTATAATATAATACGATATCTTTCGACGATATCGTTTTCTTTCCAGGTACATGGAGTTACGATAACTGAGGGTAAAGTAGGAGGAGGATACGAGAGCGAGGGAGAAGAGAGCAGCAGCAGCGGGGGTAGCCTGTCGGTGACTGGTAACACGGAATCGCCTCAGCCACCTCCGGTTGTTCCGACAAGGACAACAACCAATCTTCCACCTACAAGTCGGAACCACGATCCTTCGAGCCGCGGGATAACGGAGGTGACGGAGTGGTACGTTTGTCAGCCACCGGCAGTCGGGCCTCAACATGGACCCTTACCTGGTCCACCGCCGCCGCATCATCTTGGTCATCATTTTAACCCATTGATACACCATCAAGCAGCTGCTTATTAGGATATCAAAAGGTCAAAGTTGTGATCAAGAGAGAAAGTCTTTCTAAAATCTCCGTTCCTATCTGCTCACCTCAATCCGATGATGTGAAACAAACTTCCTTCCTGAGGACGAATTTCGTCAAAGAAAAAATATAAATGACAATCACCTGTCGATTTATTGGAGATAGTTCCTTTAAGGAAATTTCAAGAACATGCCTACACTCTAAGAAATATGGATGTGAATTCTCACCAGTGGTGTGAAATGGACGCCCATTCAGGTGTTTATAACATTCTCACCTTATCGATGTGAAATTAACTTTGCTTGGTTAGTGTGGAAAATTCACATTGTTGCGGTGTGAGACTTAACACTACTCGGTGGTGTGACTTCCATCAAGTATGGGGTTACACTTGCGATCACATCGCATGTCATGAAAACAAAACAATATAGCATCAAAATTGACACCGCGTCTGTCAGTGTGAAAGATTTTTTACAATATCGATGTTAAAATGCACACCAACTTATTTAACTACGTGAATGTGGTGAAAGGTCACACCACTATTTTTTGGAGTGTATGACGAATTTCGTACTCGTTATACGTGAATTAGATCATAAATTGTTCGGGCTTCGTTAACGCATACAAAGAGGCTCATGAATGTTACAACGGATCAAGACATATTAACTGTATATGGTACATCACCGCATATGACTTTCTCGAGAAATATCTCATAGTGAATTTCATTCAAATTTGAAAAAGTTTGAAGAGACAACTATTTTTGAGTGATAAAATATATAATTTATCCGTTTAAAATGTTGATAAATTATTAAGGATTAAATAAAACAGTGAATTTTCACATCAACATTTACTCTTTCGAGAACAGGACATCTTATAATTAGTATATCTCTGTTCTAGATAGTAATTAACAACTTTATTATTTTAAACAAAATTATATGATTTTTTCATATTAATATATTCTTTTTAATGTTCTGTATTAATATCAATTACTTAAAAAATAAAATATTTTTGAAATATTAGATGCATAAAACCTAATTATTACAACAACATAAAAATATTATTATGACATAAAAGTAATATTATAAAAACGCATTTAATAAAAGTCATATATGTAATATTGCTTTACAAAATATTAGAAAATGACAGATATTATATTTGAAAATATTTTCTTGAAATTATTGGATCATAAATTAAAATTTCAAAAAACTTTTACGAAATGTTTTCTTGAAATTATTTGAGTCCAATAGTTACACGCAAAAGGTTAAAAGAATTATGTTTATATGATAAAATCATATAATTAATTAATTTAAAAAGTAATAGTAATTTTTTTAATGTGGATTGTAAAGGACCTCGCACTAAATCCCATGAAAATGGGCCCCGGCGAAAATGGCTGAATTTTAAATAGGTTGTAGCTTTTTGGTCACTGAACAAATATTTCCTCAGACAAAATATTAAAAAATGGACACGTCGTTTCAACCCTTCAAAAGTCTGAGATCAAACTAGCAAAAAGGTACAACATATTTAAAATTCAGTTATTTTCGCCAGGCCCCATTTTCATGGGATATAGCGCGGGGTCCTTTGGACTTGAAAAGCAATTTTTAGAAATTGGATAAATAACCTAGTTTGTTGAACTCTCAAAGCCCTTATTTCTTGTTTCTTATTAATCTTTTCTAAAAAGTTATGCTGATCATAACATGTCCTTCGAAGTGGAATATCTATGGTCGGGACGATGCTTTTCAGTAAACATTGATTCCAAAGATATTTCATACAAAATTATACATATAGTTCGTCTTGCTTAATAAAAAATATAAGAATGAAAGAATCAGCAGTAGGTGATTAACGACAGAAAGAATTGTTAGACGACATTAGGCTGGCAGATGGTTTATTTATTAATTATTATTTATTGTAAGTAAAATTTTCACTTTGTTCGTAATGTGACTAGTACACTTTTAAGTTGCAATGTTCTCGGAAAACTTGTAGATTATTAATTTCCTTGAAGAGGACCACAACCCGTATAGTCGAAACGTCGGAATTAAATAAATTAACCATCTGCCAGCCTAATGGCGTCTAACAATTCTTTCTGTCGAAAAATATAAATTTGCTGATTCAGACGTTGATGTAATATCAAACTCGCGTAACCTACACAGGGTCTCGCATGCGCGGTTCTAGATCGTACCCTTATATTTGCCCTGAGACACTACCGTATCTCGTGATGTTTATGGTTAGGTACACATAGTGTAAAAAATAATGTTATCTCCGATGTATTAAAAACCGGATCTTTCAATTAAATCTGTTAGATACGCGAACCGTTTAGTATAATAATATAGAATTATTGAGATACAATAATTTTAAGTTAATTTATATTCAACTCGAAAGCATTGAATAGAATTAATGAGATACAATAATTTTAAGTTAATTTATATTGAACTCGAAACGATTGGCCTAGAAATAAACGATCTGTCTCCCCACTTTGCGCGAGATATTGACGCGACGAGACACGATCATGTCTATTAAAGTTGATTAAGCTCGTGATATTTGTTTGTACAGAATTGTTCAGATATAAATTCCAGAATTTCGTTTACTCTGCTAAACTTTACTTGACGCGGACCGAGAAGAAAAATAGTTATATGGCATAGGTTACCAAAGATCCGCGCAAACACCGGATCGACCTCTATGTCCAAAAAGTCATTAGACATTGAAGGATGCAATATATCTACAATACAATTTTATATTGCACGCACAAACAGTGGACGGTACTTTGAACACAAAACAAATGAGAAGCATACATAGATAAACACGTGTCTACTATGCTGATAAACTATCTTTGTTCTTTTTAACATGAAAATGTGTCATGTTAAATGTGTCAGTCACCTGTGTTCTTTGTCAATTCTGTAAAGATTCAGTTTGATAATGATTTTCAGAAACTTTCAAAGACAAGAGTACCGTTGAACAAAGTTATATTACAAAAATAAAAAGCGGCAGGAATAATTTTATTTGCGTAAATATCCGCTAATTAAATTATTTGGTACAACACAATAAATTATTAAGCTAATAAATTACTTTTACCTAAATTTGTATCTGACACAAATAAAAATTAAAATCAATTACTTGTACCTTAATAATTAAAGTTGATAGATACAACATTATCATATCTCCAAATTTTGTATTTAGTTTACGATTGATCTATCGCGATAAATTATCGTCTTTGTGATCTGAATAGAATCTGAATCTATGGGATTTTTTCATTGGTAACAGATCATAACAAACTACTATGTTATTTTGAAACATGAAAGACTGAAGATTAAAATCTATTGTCGTTGAATTCTGGTCATCTAATTATAAATTACTTTTAAGATTACTATGTTTGGCTAAAGAACATCTCGAAAACTTTTCCTGCACGCTGTGTACAAAAGCAATTTTGTTCATAGCAAAACTGTATTCTTTTCTGACTTACTGTGATTATTTCTGATTATTGTATCCGATATTATTTATACCAATTCTTCACTATCTCTTTATAAATTTTATAAATAATTACGATTACAAATTTAGTACAAATTCTTCGTATATCCTATTTTATAACATCGGAATTTATTATATAAAATATTTCTTTTTAAACAAATTTACTTCCTAAAGCAATATTATAATTTTTTAAATCTTGGAAAATAATATAAGTAAATTACTTTACACATAAAATTCGTAACTATTTATAAAAACATTTGTAAGTAAAATTCTTGAATATAGCAAACTATTACATTTATGATGTACCTGTATTACAACGGCGTCTACAACGATCTTTAAAAACCACACCGTTTTACATATTCGAATATATAGAAATGTAAGGTACTTTTTTGTTATTTTCGATTTAGAATTTCATTTTGGGATGAATGTAACAGACAGTGTAATATGCTATATACATATAGAGACAAGATAATAGATCAAATACAAATAAACAAGAATGTAAAAGCCACGCTCGTGCCTCAATTTATTAATCGCCAAATAATTAGCGCGAGTCTTTCGTTCGGTTATAAACAATTTCTTACATGCGCTTCTCGTATACTCGAATCTAATGTTAAAGCATACTCGTAGTATTAGCGAGAAATGGGAAATGAAAACCGATCAATTGCGCTTTATTTTGGCAAATACAAGATAAAGATATAAGTATTTTACAAAACTTTGCGAAACTCCTTGTACATAGTCCAGCGCGACGCCACGAACTACGGCGGCGTAGATGTTGATGTTAGTGTAAAATATTTACAATTTTTATCATGTGTGATATATATATCCTGTAAATTTGAAAGAGTACATAAGCGAGTGTAACATTATTGTAATAATTTTCGTTGTGTATATGCTTATTATGTCAATGGAGAAAAAAATATCAGCATTTGCCGACATTATTGTACAATATTATATTTGTTTTGCAGAAGATCTAAAATATATTGACAAGACGGTACATTGGAATACAGTCTTACTTATTGTAGATACTAAATAGTCCTACACCTGTACATATTATATACTTTTTCAGAAGCTTTATTATTGATTTTAAATAAATGTGGAATAAGTCGTTTCTACACTTATTTAAATTCTTATTTCTTAACTGGCGTCACCAAGCTGCTATCAATTTTTATTATTGATATATATATATCTTTATACAATAATCCGGGCATGTCAAAATTATTTGCATATTATACATATTAATGATACATTTCTGCTCATGCGATAATATCCCGGATTTACCATCAAGGTACGATATCAATAATAATATCTGAGAAATTAATTTCATTATGCTTGGTAAAAATGATCTCGTTAAAAACGTTGAATACCTAATTACGCGCACGAAATCTACAGGTTTGGGAAGGTTACATTAATAATTGCTTTATATAAATTTTAAACCTCCACAGATTGCATCACGCCTTGCATTTGCGTATAAACGCCTTTATCGACGCTTTACAATTCAAATGCAGATTTGATATTTTTATTTTCATTGCAAGAAAGTAACTGCAAAGTATAAGGAACGATTCGTTACCTTTTAAGCAACTGTAACTGTAACTAGTTACATTTTTAGCGAAGAAACTGTAACTCGATACTTTTATAAAGTAACTTTCTCCCAATCCTGGAAATCTATGCAAATAATATAAATTCTTTTCACGAACAAATGAAGTTTGTACTCTCAATTTAATTCGTATTCTTTCTCCCCCTCCGTTTCGTACGATACGAATAATGGCAGACAGAGGACTCGCGTGTGCGTCGGGTCTTCCAAGATTCCAAGACAAGATTATAAAAATCGTTTCTTCAGTGAATTATAGATATTGTATGGCGGATATAAGGTTCTTATTAAACTGGCCCCAAACTTAAGGAGCATCTCGTGGGGCGTATTGAACGGATAAAAAAAGTGGATAAGAAAGGGGACATATATACAGGAAGGGTTCGGTTGGCATGGCGCCACGACGCGTCTAGGCACCTACGCGGGAACGAGAGAGAAGAGAAAAAGTGGAGGAGATAGCATCGGCATCGGGACGACCGTGGCGTTTTATTGCTCGATAAGCAGATGAATTCGTCAGATAATTTCCAGGCCCGATGCAGATGATTTTATTAGCTAAACCCGTACGAGACCCCGGAATTCTTCGGGTCGAGGATTGAGATGACACGGGCTCCGGCAAGATCACCAGAGATA